CCCCCCCCCCCCCCCGCAACTGTTGATAGAATCAAACAGCTTCATTTTTCCACCTGTCGGTAGTAACTATGTTTTAGCAAGAAATGTTACATTTAACTGAACAGCCTCCCAAAGGCTTTACGCTAGAGGGGTGGATGTGCACTGAGGTTACTTATATCCATTCAGACACTTAGAATATGCCTTTAAAATTGCACTAACTCCTAAAAGCATACTAGGAACTCTGATGGGCCTGGTGGTCTTGAGGTTGAGCTCATTCATTATATATGTGTGTGTGAGTGTGTATTCATTCTAGAATGTTTAACCAACGAGCCACTAACGAGGAAGTCAGAGCTACGAGACCAATCTAGGTTTGCCACCAACAAAGGTTACATATTGTGGGTTAAAGCCAGAGGTAGACACATAGGTCCACTAATACCAGTCGGAGTTGTTAACCATAATCCCATTGGCTTTAGTAAGTCTACCATGTCTGGACCAATCCTCTTTAATGTGAGTTGGTTTGCCTCAGTTGGAGGGGCAGATAAGTGGCCTTGAGTATACGTGAACTCTTTGCAGGGTTCCTCAGCAAAAAGACATTAACATCATCTTTTCAGGGGCTGACCAAGCCTCGGTGTCAACACACAACCACATTCAGCTAGTAAAGACCCAAATCCAGGAAGTCCGGCAGCTGTCCCAGAAGGCTGAAACCAAGCTGGCCGAGGCTCAGACGGAGGAGCTCCTGAAGTTGAAGGAAGAGGAGCCTCTGCTACCAGCCTCTCGGCGGACCAGCACAGAAGAGACAGAAGAAGCCTTCCTTCGTGAAGATTGAGGATTGCTGGCACAGACAAGATCCCGCTCGGTTGCCGGATGGGAAGAAGCGACATGAAGATGGAGGAATAGGTTCCCACTGCTACCTCTCTGGCTTTACCAGCCTGGTGGGCTCTAGCCCTTGAGCTGTGGATGTTCTGTTGCCCATCTCTTTAAATGCAGTGCTGTCCAAATGCAAAAATTGTCTACAGAGAGATGGGTTTCTGGCTCTTGAGGGCTGTTTTGAGTTGATCCATCAGCCTCCAGAATCTATAGAGATTGTTGCACGTTGTAATCACAAAGGGTTGTGTCTTTTTTGCCTTTTTTTAAAAGCAACATATGAAAAGTGCTGGTGTTGTGAAGGACAAATGCTCTACCTGAAATTTCAGAAATTAGTTGTGGAAATTTACAGTTTGGAGGATCTATGTCATTTTTGTGTTATTGTTTTTCTAATGATGTACTTGGGGTAATTCCCCCCCAAACCAATTTTTAAAATAAAAGCCTGAGAAACACAACTCACTTCCTTAGTTATAATGGGGGGGGGTGCGTGTACTGGAAAGAACTTCAACTTCACTCGTCGTGATTGAGAATTTGCCATATCAGGCACAGCAGCAGCCAAAAGAATTGAAGTCATCTAGGACAAAATCTCTCTTTGAAGCAGCCACATTCAGAATTCAAACTCGGAACGGTGAAAAATAGGCAATATTTGAAGTCACTTTTCTGTGAGATGGGTGGTATCTAAATTTTAAATATAAATAAAATAAATCCTGGGAACGTTAAGGACTATTAAGCAGACGAGATGCATCACTTAATTATTCTCAATTTATTGAGTGTTCTGCTGATGCCAAGTTTCAGATCAACTTCAGCTGAGTTTGTTAAGCAACCTGGCTAAAACGTGCGCACTGGAGCTGCTTTTAGCTTGAACTGCTGACTCCTGCGTACATTTATATTCAATGCGCTGCTATGTCTGTAAGCTCTAGTTATTCACTTTTGCTCATGGGTAAGAAAAAGAAGTGTGCCCATATTCTATACATTATATTTATTACAATAGAGCAGTGTTGTCCAAACTTGGCTACTTTAAGATGAGTGGACTTCAACTCCCAGAATTCCCCAGCCAGCAGTAAAATGCCACCTCTTTTCTTCATTCTCCTGGTAGTTTACTATGATATAAGCCAGTGTTTCTCAACCTTAACAACT